TCAGCTGGATCTTCACTCAGGGCGTAGACCCGCGGTGCACCTCAGCCGGTCCGGCGGCCAACAGCTGCAGTGTCCAAATCTTTGATGGCACGAGCCCCGATGCGCCCGGCAACCCTTACTGGAACCAAGGCGCAATCCCGCAGAACCCTTGGCCGCAGGTGCGCTATGTGATTCAAGCTTTCCTCCCAACAGTGGTGAATGACATCGAGGTGACGACCGGCCTTACCTCCGCGGACATCGATGGTCGTGTTGTGGTGGTCTACGACTATGACGGCGTCCCCATTGGCATCGCCATCATCCAGCTGCCAGAGGGCGCCCCTGAGCCGGCGGAGGGTGATGACCTGTACGTCTTCGACTTCAGCCCGTACCCCGGCTCCTCGTCGCCCTACCAGCCGACCGGGGTGGTGGAAGTGAAGTCCGCAGACAATGGTGAGACCCAGCTTTCGTGGAGCCTCACCGGCCTGGATCCCAGCTGCAGCAGCGATTGTGCCGCGACCAATTGCTGTGGAGTCACAATCAATGAAGGCAGAATGCTGCTGACAGTCTTAGAATCTAAGCTAAGGTCACTGACATAGTGGGATTTACAGGGGATTCCTTTATCGGTTTATCGTTCTGTTTTCTTGCAGGCATGAGCTGCAGCGACGCCGGAGCAACCTATTGGGCCGGAGATGACGGCAACCCTTGGGGTTCCGTCAAGTACGATTCGAGCACGGACCCGGCGAACGTTCTTTTCCTCAGCGTTGACACTGGCCTGGCACGTGCCGATGTCTTGGGCCGCGCGATGGTGATCTACGACGCCGCTGGTGCCCCCATTGCCTGCGGCATCATTGAGGACGGATTTTCATGCACATGGATGGTGTCACACGCGTGCAAGCGAGTGTGGTTCACACTGGCTAGTCCTTTGGACTGCAGGGTTCACTCTGTTCCGAAAGTCAGAGTTGAAAACGTGTATAGAGTTGCTAGTGTCTTATGAAGTATGGGTTGCTTCGAATAATCCCGGAACAAAGCATGTATAGGGTTGCTAGAATCTTATGATGTGCAGGTTCCTTAAAATCAAAAAGCCACCGAAATTTCACCAAACCAACATATTAGAGCTGCGAGGTATGCACAGTGTGATCTCAACTTGCGGAAATACACAGCCCTAAGGGTCCAAGGACCCAAATAACAGGGCTTTAGGGCCCAAATACCATTAATATGGTAGTATTTCCAAATACTACAATCTGCAAGGTATTTGGGACCAAAGTCCATAATATTTGGGTCCAGTTGGGCCTGTAGGGAAACATAACAAACCCCAAAACATGTACTGCACAGGAGCCGTCGGGTAGCTCTGACGTCTAGTACGATTCCAAAAGAAGTGGCTACAGGGAGGGTTGAGGGTCTAGGCTTAGGGTCCCCTACATATAAGTTGTGTTACAACTGAGGCAGAATGAGGATATGTGTGCCAACAACACCAAATGGGATTAAAACTGCCGATACGTAACTAGGGGGCCCCACTTTGTACTTGCTTTGGTTGATTGGTTGCCCGGCTACAAACCCAGAAATGCCAGACACTCAACAGTTGGACATGAGTGATGCTGGCAACTCTGAGCGTGATGTGGGTTTTGGGGAAACATGTTGATTACACCGTAGCCCACCATATACATAATATACATATATATATACCATCACTATGCATGAGGTGAACAATCATCACTTGTTGCACGAGGAGGGATTTATCTTCAGGGGCGGGGCACCCCAAGGGACAGAAAAAGCAGAAAGCTACTTCTTCCTATCCCACAAGAAAACCCTAACGCCTCCGAAGTCCTAAACCCTGTTGAGATTTCAGCCCAAAATGTCCAGATATAAATTCTTCTAACCTAGATCTTCCTCCTACCCTCTATTAGGGCCTAAGTACTTACTATTAGGGACCACATATCCCCAATTAAGGGTACAAGGAGGGTCCTGGTGAACCCCAAAGCATCTAGAATGATGTCTTTTGGGGCTAGTTTTAGGGCGGTCTGAATTTACCGACATTTGGTGTCCAGGAGAGAGTTTTCGATCAGTGGGTTGCAGCCATTCCCTTCCCTAAGGAGATAGTGTACGCAATATCTTGTACACTTTATATAGTGCCCGATGTAGGTATTATTTGCGCACTTGGGATCCTAAGGGTTGAGGGCGGCAAAATCACACGAAGCCCCTCGAGCCCTGCACCACGAGCTCCCAATTGGTTTAGGGTTTAGGGTTTAGGGTTGAAACAAACCTTGAGTCCTCGGAAGGAGTCTACGACGACTGTCTTCGAGGACTACCCTGGTTATGCCGGTGACTTGCCAGACACCTCTGGCGGTGTGAAGGTTCGCTCGGCGCCAAAACTGTCACGGTTTCTGTCTTTGCTGCATTCTTGTAATTATTACGTGCCATGAGCCTCCAATTGCCCCCCACGCCCCTGTGCGTCCAGAGCTTGCACAGGACGGTTTATGGGTTTAGGGTGTAGAGTTTCGGGTGACGTGTTACTGCCAGGACCCTCCTTGTACCCTTAATTGGGGATACATGGTCCCTAATAGTAGGTACCCTAATAGAGGATAGGAGGAGGGTCTAGGTGCTTGTTGGATTTCTGGGACAATTCCTGATGAACAGAGGTGAGAGATTTTTCAGGGAATTCTGGAGAGAAATGCACATATGCCTTCGGTTGGGCCCCCACCCACTAATAGTGACCACAAGAGGTGATGGTAATTATATTAGGGTCCTTATATATTCCTAGTATACCACCATTAGTGGGTGGGGGCCCAACCCAACACATGGGCCGCAGTTGCTACCACGTTTACTAAGATACCGGAATGTCAATATTCATTGTCATGATCAGGCCTTCTATTACAATAAGCAAGGCCTGAGTGTTGTGTGAAGGTTAAGTCTTCGGTGGAGCTTCGAGGTGTTTTTTCCCAGGTGTTGGGTTCGGGAATGGTTGTTTCGTGGTCTTCCAAGTTACAAGATCGTTCTGAACAAAGATCTAGCCTCTGAGCTTTCGCTTGTTCAGGTACATCTTGCTGCCCTGCAAACGAACATGGGCCATTGTGGGCCCCCCTGTAGTCCCCCTGTAATGCGACAGTCAGACTTTGAATCTACCTTTAACTTGGGGGCTTGTATGGGGTTTGCCAAAATTGGGGTTACCTTTTCCGGGGTACCAATAAGTAACAAGGACTATAGCAGTGTTTTGTCCATATTGGGACCCCGATTACTCATTCTTGAATATTTGAGATTTGCGACAATAAGAATTCAATACATGGCTTGCAGTGATATGGTAATATGGAACCCGGATGCCGCAGGTTCAGTTAAATTGAGTGCCCAGGTACTCTACAGTTGTGATCATCCGCATGATATCAGAAAGGTAGAGGCTTTTTCCATTCCCATCCGGCACAGAGGGGACAACGTAAGTAATCCAGCACGCGAATTTGCAGCAGGTCGAGTCGGACGACGAGACGCAGACGCTTAGCTGGCTCTTCACGCAGGGCCTGGACCCGCGGTGCAGCGATCCTTGCACGGCCAACAACTGCTGCGGTGTCCACATCCACGAGGGCACGAGTTGTGCAAGTGCTGATGCCGTTGGTGGCCACTTCTGGGACATGGACCAGTACCCTGAAGACCCTTGGCAGGATGTGCGCTACGTGATCGAAGGCTCCTTGCCATCGAAGGTGAACGACCTCAAGGTGACGACCGGGCTCAGCGCAGCGCAGGTCAACGGCCGCACCGTGATCGTGCACGACTATGACGGGGTCCGCATCGGCTGCGCCACCATCAAAATTTGCATCGACACCGGCTCAACTGTGAAGGGTGCCATCGACAAGTTGGAAGAGGCAGTGGACCAGATCAAGGATGCCCTCACCGACCTTGAAGGCGTCGTGGCCGCCAAATCCTCCAACCACTCCGGCAAGGGCTACTCTCACTCCGGCTACCACTCCTCCGATTACAAGAAAGAAGCGCACCCGCCGGCCTACAAGTGCAACAACATTTGCGG